TATTGTTATACAAGCTCTGCTTATTAGACTTTCCTTTGCCTGTGTCGCACAAGGGACCTGATCAAGTCGCCTGAGCAGAGCAGACCTAACGTAGAGCTGCAAGACTGCCACTTCTGTTCAGAAACATGGCTGCTGGTGATACTGCTGCTTCTGGTTTTTTCCTAGGCATTTGCCTAGGCTATGGGGGAACTGAGTGCAAGCCTTCAACCCTTCCTTTGAAAAGGGATGAAACTTGCATATCTTGCATTTTGGTAAATGTCCTGACTCTGGGCAACGTGCAGCTTTGAAGGGGCTGAACCTGTTTCCCTTTGAAGAGAAGAAAGTTTTCTTAGGTTGAGACCCATGCTTACCATGCTACCTAGGAACTGGAGCATGTAGCTGGGGAGGAGGCGCTGACTTTGTTCCTTACTCAAAGAACTATACCTAGATTTGATCCAATGACTGATAAGTAAAAATGCACAAATGATTTTTAAAAATGAAGCAAAATCCAAGTCATCTGCTAGGGCAGCTGAAGATGAGGCTGCAGTTGTCTTTGATGAATATTCAGTCCTTTTTTGTGTGAGGAATACCTTCAAGGGGAGGGACTGAAATTGTCCCGTCTCCAAATGTGTGTGTTTGGATGCTGCTTTGTAAGATGAAAGCGTGGGTTAAAAGTATTTAAAAGTAATTGAATTTGTCTATCTTAGTGTAGATAAGAAATCTGGTCACGGAATTAAGATGTAAGGCAATGCTACCACCACTAACTAAAGAAATCCCTTTCTCTATTTTTGTCTGAAGTTGTTGAACTCCTGAGGTCGTTCTGGTGTGGAGAAGTCAACATCTCCTTCTGGTATCAGGCCTCTAAGCCCTGGATAAAGGTAGACTTTAAGATAAAGCATTGTCATCAGAATTTCTAATTGGCTAGTCCAGGCAATGTTCAGCTCAACGTGCTGGCTCAGTATCCTGCCGTGGGGTTCTGAAACCTCTCCTTGCCTTGCTTTGTGAGTACTGATACTGAATTCGGTAGGCCAAGCGCCAAATGTGCGACATTGCTCTTCATAGATCAAGCCCTCTGTCTTTAAAGGTTTGTTGGAATTCCTGCAGATTTGTGTCATGTCCCTACCTTCCAAATAGCCCTTTATTATATCTGAACAAAATGTAATATTTTTTGGCTGGGTTCTGGTTGGCTGGTGCATATATGCTGATAGATCAGAAAAGTACACAGACAGATAACTGCTGAGCCTCATGCTGTAGCCTTTCCTGAGAAGCATGTGAATTTGGAAGTTTTTCTAGATACTGATTTTCATGGAATGTATGTGCATTTCAGATGTGATGTATCTCTGTCAGGTTTGCTCAAAAATGGTCTAGGGGTCCTGAGGCTCATGTGGGAGAGGAACAGACTAGTCGAACAGCATGATCACCTAAGCTTGGTTTCTTTAGGAAATCAGGATTAAATTATATTTATCATGTCCAAAGGTTGTTGAGTAAGTACAATGACTTAGACTAGTTGCAGAGACCGTCATGGGATTAGGTAGCTGAAAGTTAATGTAAAATAAGAACATCTAAATCTTACAACTTCCATAATTTGTAAATGGTACAGCTGTTTGAGGAAGGTTTTGGGGCTTCACCTTTCTCCCCTTCCACTCCACCTTCCAATTTCATAAACTATTCTGGTCAAAAATTATCATGAGAAAATCAGTCACTTATCGTTGTTACTCCACTCCATTGCAACCATTACTGTAGTGGGAAAATGTTATTGTATTAGAAACAGAAAATTACTCAACTGTAATAGTTTTTATTTATTATATAATTTCTGAACTTAGGCTTGTGTGTTTTTCAGTTTGTCATCTGAAGTGTGGCTTCTAATAGTAATACTATAACATTTATTGTGACTATACTATGTAAAGATCTTTCAATTAAAACTACTAGGTCTGTTCAATCTGTTTGCCTTGAATGTTTGGCCAGTTTCTGTATCAGCCATTTCTTTGGGATTTTTTTTTTTTTCAGAGTGCTTCTACTTTGACAGGCAAGAGAAGCCCTGTGTATGTGTAGAGATAGACAGCATGTCTGCCAAAATGAACAGATAGACCAAGGGTAATTGTTCTGAGTGTACTGCCTGTTAAAAACAAAACCAAAATGATTTCTAGTTTACCTTCTTTATTATGCTCTCCTCCTTGTGTTTGCTCAGTTTAGAGCACTGGAGCAATTTGTTCTGCAAGAGGACATCCCTGAAATACACTGTTTCTGACAAGGAGCAAGAATCTATTAAACATTTGGCTTATGCTTTTTGTAGAAGTTGACATGATAATTAGGAGATGTGAGATTGTTTTCTTAACACACTGGAGTGCAAGAATGGCAGGATAGCTGGCATGCTTAATAGAGTATGGAGACTTCCTCTGCGTATGGCTGCTTGAAGTCGAAGGAGTTGAGAGCTTTCCCCAGCTGTTTGCTGATTTAATTAGATTTTTTCCTGTCAAGAAATCTGAAGGTCAACACATGCTTAGTAGAATCTGTCACTTACGATGATTAAATACCCAGAGATAGATCTTTAAAAATCTTAAAAAAAACCACCACTTTAAGAATCTGTTGTGTTCATTTCTATGCTGGTCAGGAAAACAAACGACTATATTTTAAAAGCTTGTAAATAGAGAGGTGGCTGTTTCTTGCAGGTCTCTGAAGTATCGGTGGAAACTGAATGTGTGTACTGTCTCAGAGCAGAGATTCCTGCATTTGAGATAATTAATGAGCAGTGTGGAAATAGAGACTGTTTATTAGGAGATTGTTAGTGACCAACAACATATTAGCAAATGAGCTGTGTGTGTAGTAGCCTTTTCTTACACTTTTCCCTGTGTGAGTCATGATGGTAGCACACTTCCCAGAGTCGTCTAGTTTGTGCTGTTACCTGTGTCATGCAGTCAGACAGGTGAAAAAATGCCAGTCTCAGTCCTAGGTCAGCAGCAGTGTTGGTGTTAGTATCTTGACGTTTCTGGTAATGCTGGCAAAAGGCTTTAAGAAGAGTGTTTGCTGCAAGGCTTTACACTACAATTCTGTGCATCTCTTGTCCTGCTGTTTTGGTAGGAAAGCTGAAGTAGATGTGCTGAAGGAAATGGTGGGATTTCTTAGAGAGGAATTAAAAATCTTTCTATGCATGTTGGCTCATTGTTTGGTTTTGCTGTTATTTGTTTTGCTTTTGAATTTCCTTGGTTAAAAGACATATGTAGTAATAGCAGATTAAAGAGGACTGCAATTTTTTTTATCCCTGCAAGAGCTTTGATTGTGCTTTCCTAGAAGTTGGATGAAAATCTATTTTATCCAATGCCTGTGAATATTCTGGCTTATGTTGAAACTGTTAGCCCAGCAGTTTGGTTTTGAAGGGACAGGTTCAACTTTCAGTTTGTTGTGTTTTACACTTGTTATGGGAATTCATTTGGGGGAAAAATTGCTGCATAATATTGAAAACCTCACTGAGATAAGGACATATTGTACAAGTATCCTGTTACTTAAAGGGCACTGAATGTTCGTAGTACTAAATAGAATTTCTAAACAGATGGTCATAATTAACATAAAATACATCCACAGATAGAGTCTATTTGGTGTTCTAGTAATTATTTCAATGGTCCAATACTTTAGCATTAATTAAACTGTAGCACAGCCAACAATGGAATTGCAGTAGTTACTGAATTCAAACATGGAGGGAAGATCTCAGCTTCCTCAAAACAATTACCTTTTTTTCCATCATCAGAGAAAAAAAATAGAATGTTAAACATGTAATTAAAACATTTGTGTATTGGAGTTTCTAACAAGCTGCTAGGAGAAGCTTGTTCATAGCCTTGAAGTGAACTAACTGGTCTCTAGGTTGCATAGAAAGTCAACATCATTGCACATTGCAGCAAAGGGTGGGGCTGTTTAGCTCTTAGATGAAGCTGTGAATTTAAATCTTCATGACGAAAGCTTGAATGTAAACGGTTTCAATGAACTTCTTAGGCCTGTTATCTTTTTCAAGAACATAAGTTATATAAGATGGGATGTCTTTCAGAACAATTTCTACATATTCAGATTTTTCTTTGGAATACAATTTTGTAAATGATTTGCATGGCACTACTGCATAGAGTGAGATGTTTCAAAAGAAAAGACTTAGTAGCAAGCCAGCCAAAGTTATTGCTTGCTTTATTATAAGTTTTGTCCTAAATACCTGGATTTTCCACACATTAGATTTTCTTGCTGTGAGTTCATGGAAGTGGAGTTGCATTGTTGTGTAAGGTAGAGATGTGAAAAGCAAAACCGAATACAGCAAACTCTGCCCTTGTATGCTCTGGTGGGTTCTTGGGAGAAAAGTTTGAAGTAACACAAGAGAATAATAAAACTAAAAACTAATCTCTCATTCTTTTTGTGTTTTCTTATGATTCTTAACTTTTGTTAATTGGTTTGTCTTTTACAGAAAGAGAAAATGTCTTTTTTTTTTAAAAAAAAAGCAAAGCTATGTTTAGTTTGGTGTCTGAGTAAGATCTACAGAAGGAAGGCATTGTTCTACTTCAGTTCAAATGGAAGTAACATTTTAACTCCCCCCTTCCCTGCTAACAAACAAAAAAAACAAAAAAAAATTCTGTGTCCTCTCCCCACCCCAGGCCCATTCTACAACCAGGGAGTGCTTTCAGGGTTTTGAAAACTTGAGCTTAGATGAGACAGTGTGAGAGATGGTTGTTGTGATTCACGCCTTTACATTTTCTGTGCCAATAAATGTCTTCCTCTTCCTACGCTAAAGGTGTATTTAATCCTGTGAGAAGAACTGTAATGCTATTTATTGTGCATAGGTTCAAGTTCAACTTACAGTAGTCTGCATTAATTCAGTTCATGAGCCTTTTTTGGTACAATTATTAAACTAACAGGAAGTTGAGTTTTTTGAGTACTTTGACATAAGGATTTGGTTTTATTCTGTAAAATGTTGAAATGGTGGGGTTTTTTAATTAAAAATAATTCTAAATTACCAGAAAGCATGTTTTAAATACTCTGTTATTCACTTACAGCTGCCAAAACATAGTACAGTGAAATAATGGTCTGCTAGCCTGCTAAACAAGTGTCCAGCTTCCACAATGCCTGTGCAGGCAGCTCAGTGGACAGAATTTCTGTCCTGCCCAATCTGCTACAACGAGTTTGATGAGAATGTGCACAAACCCATCAGCTTAGGTTGCTCTCACACTGTCTGTAAGACCTGCCTGAACAAGCTTCATCGCAAGGCATGTCCTTTCGACCAGACTGCCATCAATACAGACATCGATGTGCTTCCTGTAAACTTTGCACTCCTCCAGTTAGTTGGAGCCCAGGTATGATTTAAGCAGCTCTTTGTTTTGCCACTTTGTGTTATTACCGTTTACTTGCCAGTTGCAATACGCGTACTGATCTTTTACCCTTGTTATAGTCTAAAAAAAAAAAATGGTCAGACTTTAACTTTGTAATATTTAGAAGTCCATACATACTCTAAAAGCAACCACACCATTTTCAGGACCATCCTCTTCTCATAAAATGAAAACATGTTCTAGTTGTAACCTGAATTCTGGTTTAAAAAGGCTCTTGAACTGTGACTGGAGAAAAATACCCGTTAGGAAATAGACAGTTATCTGTCACAATTGTCATTAGAAAACTGAACCTGCAGATTGCACTCATTCATCATACTCTTGCAATGAATCTTCTTTCTACATGTCACATGTTCGAAAGTAGCTAGCTGTTCAGCCAAATTTCAGAAGCGTGTGTGTGTAAAATTTTTTGTAAAATATGCATGATGATTGCTTTTCAGTTGCGTTTTCAGACACTGGCTAATCAGACCAGGAATGTTCCCTGTGCTGTCTCGTAGCAGTGGCAAAACAGCGATTATATAATCAGTACTATGCTTTATGGAGACTAAATAAGTCTGTTCACCTTATGCTGATTCATATGCTTTCTCATATTACTCTTGCTATAACACCTGGGGGATGCAGTAAGAAGATGCTTTTTACTTTGTTTTTTAATGTCTCATCACATGCCTTGACACAGCTATTTGTAATAATACTGTCTATGTCAAAGTGGTTTGTTTCTCAAGTTCACATGTTCCTTTTTTTTATTTCTAAGTTTGTGTCAAATCTCTGCCTTGATCTTACAACATTCATTTTCCTGGTCTCCTAGCTTCTTGCAATGTCTTTCAAACAATTTAATGTATTGTGACTAATACTCCCTGTATTTTCATTGCCTGACCTTGTTACTCTACTTGGAGTTCTTTTCCACCAAGTTTGCTAATGCTTCTCTCTAAAGATTTCAGCATGCCCAAATTACGCTTAAATTATTTTTTTAACTTTGCTTTTGATTTTTTTCGTATTATTTTCTTGCCAGTTAATTTTGTCTCTCTGTAGTAAATCATGCTGATCTTGTACACTGATCATCCTCTCAAGTAATGTGTTCTTAATTCATCTTTTAAGTAGCTTCTCATTAGACCTTGGTTATTGTTTTCTATCCTACTTTTGTTCTTAATGTGTTGAGTACTAACAAAAATAATCTTTCATCACCCTGATCCTCATTATGTGTCCTGTTTGGTTTTCTTTATTATATTCTACATACCTTGGGTGGGTCTTGTCTTTCACTTCTCTAAAAAGCAGTGTACATCTGCAGTGTTATGTAATTAATAGTAGTGATGTTGGTACCATCACAGGCATATCATATAGGTCAGCTGGGTATATGTAATTCTTCTCCCTCCTCCTCCCCCTTGCATTTTCTTAGGTACCTGATCATCAGACAGTAAAGTTGAGTAACGTAGGAGAGAACAAACATTATGAAGTAGCAAAGAAATGTGTTGAGGATTTGGCACTCTACTTAAAGCCATTAAGTGGAGGAAAAGGTGAGTCTACTGAACAGTGGAATTTTGATGTAGCTTACTTTTAACAGCATTGTGTTTTCAGCACTGATTTTAGATGTCAATGGGATAATCCTCTAATTTTTGTAATAAAATGCCCCTTAGGTCTTTAAAAGCTTATTCACACCTGTGACACTTGATTTTTTTTTTTAAAGTTTACAAAATAGGTTTTTTTATTTAATAATATTACCTTGGGGCTAACTTTGTACTAAAAGCTGAACTTCCCTCAAAGGATGGGTTTGTCAATTTAAGACTTTCATTAAAATCCTGTTCGATAATGAATTACAGGGTTGCCTAAGAGAAGGGAAGATACCTGTGACTAGTGTGCAAGTCCTAGAGAAAGACACATACCGTTAGACATGTTTTTTTGTCTTACTCAGATAAATGTCTGATTAGAAGCAATAGTTTGCCTTTTCTCTCTTTCTTTGAAGGTGTTGCAAGCTTGAATCAGAGTGCACTGAGCCGTCCAATGCAAAGGAAGCTTGTGACACTGGTGAATTGTCAGCTGGTGGAGGAAGAGGGTCGGGTTAGAGCTATGAGGGCAGCTCGATCACTGGGAGAGAGAACCGTTACAGAACTGATCTTGCAGCACCAAAATCCTCAGCAGCTTTCTGCCAATCTTTGGGCTGCTGTCAGGGCACGAGGATGCCAGTTTCTAGGACCAGGTAAGGTACCCATAGAATCTGCAACAGTGTATATTTAGCTGTACCTTAACAAAACAATCTTTGGAAATTTCTTCAGTTGAAGATGTAATTACTTCCGGTTTTCAACTTCTTGCCAGGAAGAAAGGAGAAGGAAAGAAAACATAGACAAGTTAGTAAAATCTGCTGTTTTAAAGTTTGGGTTGATTTTTGTCTCATCCCACCCTTACTAACTTCTTCAAAATTGTGAGGAACTATTTCAAAAAGTCCTGGCAAAGAAGAGTAAATAAGCATGCTTTCTGCACAGTTTGTAATGCAGTGTAACTGTTAACACAGGTTGGTTGTACTGCTCCCTGTGATTAGAATTGGATAGGAAACTGCAAATGCTCTGTTGTTCATACTTTAGCTGCAAATACAATCAGCCTAACTTTAGTTGCAGCATACTTTAATTTTAAAATTTATAATGATCACATTTATATCTTTGATAGAAACAGCAAATTCCTAGTTAAGAATGCTGCTGAAGCAAGCACAGAAATGAGAAGGAAATTCTGTTTAAACTGGAAGTAATTCTCTCTTGATTCCAATAACTGATGATAGCATTCCTGTACTGTTCCCATATTTATTTTATACAGTTTCATGGTGTAGCATTGATGAGATGACCAAAATGACAAAGGCTACAAGACGGCATAGTGGAGAAAAGTATACAAACTGTACTACTGATGTGTTTATTACTGAAAATTAGTCTTAGCTCTTGAAGTTTGCTGTGCTTAGAGTGCTTCGAAGTCCTTCTTCTAAACTAGCAAATTTCTTAAAATGTTTACAAAGCTTTTTTTTATTATGGTTAGTGAAATAAAAAGTAATAAGGAATTACATTCAAGATGATTCAGATGCTCCTACTTACCGTGTTAATACATGATAGGCTTGCTGTTTTTTGGCAATATATTTCACTTCCTATCCTTTATTTTTGTGTGTTAAAGCTATGCAAGAGGAGGCACTGAAACTTGTATTACTGGCACTGGAAGATGGCTCTGCACTCTCAAGAAAAGTTCTGGTACTTTTTGTTGTGCAAAGGCTAGAACCAAGATTTCCTCAGGCCTCTAAAACAAGCATTGGTCATGTTGTGCAGCTACTGTATAGAGCATCATGCTTTAAGGTAAAATACCAATATTTGAAGCTTGTTACTGTGAACTAGTGCAGCTCCAGAAAATCCAATCTAGGATTAGTACCTTGCACCTGTAAAATGTTACATAAATTCAGTTTCCACACATTTGAATAGTTTAGACTATAAGATTTTTATCTAGAACTGTCATGAAGTAATTGTTTGATATTTAAAATTCCCTGCAAAAGGAATAAATGATCACATGTGGAATTAAGCCGGAATAGATTCTGAAATTATTGCCCTCGTTATTAACTGCCCGTCATCTGGAAATTATCTCCCCTGAAAGAGGCATGAAACCTGACTCTGTAGGCACTCTTAGCCTGCTTCAGGTGAAGTATTTTAATATAATCACTTCTGACTTTATTTAGATTGATAAGAGTTGACCATGTCCAGACATGTCACACTGGCCTGGATGCTCTCAAAGCTTAGAATCCAATCCCAGCATTCTAAAGAAAACTTTTGGAGTACTGTAGTCCTGGGAACAACACCGGGCATGAGAGGGACACCATGCACAGAGAGTGCTCTCAGCCTGAGCTCCAACATTGCATTCCCACACATTTGTCACTCTCTCTCCGTTTTCTTTTGTCTGTATCTAGCTGCCTTGCACTGAAGAGTTCCTTTTATTTTTAATATGTAGGGGTGGGTTGTTTAAACTGAATATTCCCAACTCTGTATCTGGAGAAGAATGAAAAGTTAATTCCATGGGTCTCTTCTTTTTGAATCACAGTTAAAAACATGATTATCACAACGTCACTAAACTAAACATTAAAATAATGACACCTGTTGCTCTCCTTTATGACAAATGTCTTCTGTAACCTAAGAGTTTTGCTTAACATTTACAGTGGGCTCTAGGTTAAATATTCTGTTCTTTAAATGTCAGTATCTTGAAATTTTTCTTCCTTTTTATTATTTAAGTCATTTCTAGAGACTTTCATGTTTCTTTAAGTCATCTTTTAATATTGCATAGCAAAAACTACTAGTAGAACTACTAAATATCTGTCTCCTGTGACTTAAGCAAATCTGATTACTTTCCTAGTTGGAAGTAGTGAGTTGGTATAGTTTTGCACCTGTGATCCTGTAAAAACTTCAAGAGCTGGCATTTCTGCCTGTGCACTGCTAGCTAAGTGGATGAATACATGGAAGAAAACAAAGTATATGCTAAATATAAAAAAGCAATACTGTTGTGATTTGTGCTGTGTAACTGTTTTTTTCTGATGGACTTGGAGATTTTTTTGTTAAAGGAGGAATATTTAACTATTACAATTTATTAGGTCACTAAAAGGGATGAAGATTCTTCTCTGATGCAACTTAAAGAAGAGTTTCGGAGTTACGAGGCTTTGCGGAGAGAACATGATGCCCAAATTGTTCACATTGCCATGGAAGCAGGACTTCGAATATCACCAGAACAATGGTCTTCCCTTCTTTATGGTGACTTGGCACATAAATCACACATGCAATCCATTATTGACAAGGTTTGTCAAAGGGATGATTTTAGTATCTTTGTAGGATTAGGTTTGACTATTAAACGTTATAATAAAAATCCAAGAACCACTTGAGTTAACTTTTTGTCTTTAGTCATATCAAATATTAATTAAAACTAGAATGAAGGTGTTTTCCCCACTGTAGTGTATTCTTTATATGAAGACGTTTTGGTTTTCAGTCGTTCAAGGCTAATTCCCTTTCTTGTGTCTTATGATGAAGCTTCATAGGGCAGATTCTGAGCTGAGAAATAAAATTTCTCTCCACTGATACTCTCTATATGCCATCTGAAGACACTACATATTGTGTTTAGGAAGCAGATGTAATGTAAATCTTTTTAAGATTAGTAGTTCACAGTTGTAAGATGCAGCACACTAACGTTCACTTTGTTTTCAGCTCCAATCTCCGGAATCTTTTGCAAAGAGTGTACAAGAATTGACAATTGTCTTGCAGCGCACGGGGGATCCTGCAAATTTAAATAGGCTGAGGCCTCATTTAGAGCTCCTGGCAAACATAGATCCAAATCCAGGTATGCAAATGAAGCTTTTTAAACATTTCTTGATATTTTTCGTATCTGGCAAAGTAAATTATTAAGATGATAACCTGCATTCCAGGTTTCAAAATTCCCATTAATTAACATAGTATGTCATAAACTCTTCTTCAGACTCTCTGAATTGTGTCCTAGTACTTGGTGTTTTGAAGTACTAGAAGAGTTGCCTCTTATTTATGATACTGCTGGAAATATTGACAGAATGACAGGCCTGCTTTTAATAATTTTAGATGCAGCATCTCCAACATGGGAGCAGCTGGAAAATGCAATGGTGGCTGTAAAGACTGTGGTACATGGACTGGTGGATTTCATTCAGAATTACAGTAGAAAAGGCCATGAAACTCCACAGGTAACTATATTCGATGGTTGCATTATATGTCTTAATGTACCTATACTGAAAGATGCAACTTTGAAAAATTACTATTGATTTGAAATATTTATAGCCTTTTCTGTGGAATAATTGATGATACTGTTATTTACTGCATTCAGATTTTTAGAATTTAATGTTTCTGAATATGGAATGCAGCAGAGCTTGCTGTAGTGAGATCCATACAATGGCATAGTAGCCCATCAGCAAGAAATTTTCTTAGTTTTCTGATTAAAGGTGGAAAATGTAAAAACATATCGTGGATGCATTTTGTGTATTTTAAGCCTATTTTTATGTAAATCTCTGTAAGATTGTAAGAGGAATGTCTTGTGTGTTTTGTTGTGTTTTTTTTTAAAGCCACAACCAAATAGCAAATATAAAACAAGTATGTGCCGAGACCTTCGACAGCAAGGGGGATGTCCAAGAGGAACAAACTGTACATTTGCTCATTCTCAGGAAGAGCTTGAAAAGTGAGTGTGGGAGACTTTTTTTTTCCTTCTCCTTTTTAATTTAAATCCAAGCAATCTCCTTAGAATTTTGAAAACAGTTTCTTCTATACATTTATTCATTCGGAAGGATTTGTGAATCTCTTGAAGTAACAACTCTTTACATGAAATTGAAGGTACGGTAAAGCAATGTCTGCAAACTAATTCCAGTTTTATTTTTTATTTTACCCCATATGAAGTTAAAATTTCCTTTCCTGGAACTGAGCCTAGGCTCAGTGTCTGTGAGGGATTGGTTATATCACCTACAAGAGAGAGAATGTTAATTGCATTTTAATTGATTATGGAATAAAGTGAGTTATTTGAACAGTATGCAAGATCTGCATTCTCGAAGCTGTTTTCACTGAAATCCATTTTCAAAGAACTGCAGAAGTGGATCTTCTACAAGGAGAGATGATCTTTGGATACAAGGAAGACATCGATGTTCTATTTGCAGATTGTTGAAAATAAGCACCAGTTTTTGAAGTCTTGTAATTTTTGGATATCGTGTTCTTCTCAATCCCTTTTGCTAGTTTTACAAATACATTAAACTTCACAATAAGCACTTTTAAAATCGTCTGTCTTTTGTGTGTGTTTGTACATGTGTTTGTTTATAGGTATCGCTTGAGGAACAAAAAAATCAGTGCAACAGTGAGAACATTCCCCCTTCTAAATAAAGTTGGCGTAAATAGCACTGTCTCAACCACAACAGGAAACGTGATTTCTGTCATAGGAAGCCCTGAGGCAACAGGGAAGATGGTGCCAAGTACTAATGGAATAGCTAATCTAGAAAGTGGTGTTCCCCAGTTGATACCTCGCTGTGCGGACACCTCCTTGAGAGCTTTGGAGAACACCAAGAAAGGAGGGAAGACTGGAGCCAATGGCCAGAATGTTTCTGGATCCCCTACAGAATCACTACCTGAAAAGTAGGTAACTTTTTTTTTCATAAAGATAACCAAGCATAACATTTTGCTTTTAGATTATCATGGAGTTTGTGGATGGCAAATAATAGAAACCAAGAAGGGCACACATAGTGCGTACTCCCTTAATAATCCTGGAAACTTTCTAGTTTGGGAGTTTTCCCTTAAAACTTTTTTAGATGCTTCTCCAGGAAGTACTGAGCCTCTAAAATTTTCGAAGCCTTTGTCTTTACCAGAATACACTTATAAGTGGTATGTAAGCTTCTGGATACGTACCAAAACATTTATATCCACTTTTGAGCTCTCTTAGGAGAAAGTCTAAGATGTAGTAGTAGTATCAGTTTGGGGTATGAAAAACAAAATTCCAGAGGAAATGACATGGCCCAAATTTCCACATTACATGGGAGTGTACATGAAGAGATGACTCACAGAAATAAGTAAAGATCTGCTTAATTATTTCTTGGTAATCCTTTTCAGTAAAATTGGTTCTCCACCCAAGACTCCTGTAAGCCAGGCAGCAGCTACCTCAGCTGGTCCTCCTAATATTGGAACAGAAGTTAATTCTGTGCCTCCAAAATCCAGCCCGTTTGTTCCTAGAGTACCTGTCTACCCTCCACATTCTGATAATGTTCAATATTTCCAAGATCCCAGGACTCAGCTGTCATATGAAGTTCCACAGTACCCGCAGACAGGTGAGTAAGATGAGCACTGAATCAAAAGTAGCTCTGAACTTTTCTCTAGATAAGCCTGAATGCTGAGAAGTAACTTTTATCTCAGTTTTGTGGATTTTTTTTTTTTAAATATCAGCCAAATCTTCACTTAATGGAATACTAATCTGGTCTGTTGCTGAGTATGGGGAGGACTTGTAGTTTGCTCCCAGTCTTGGTGGTTCTTGTCTTTGTGTGCTGTATGTTATGCAACTGGTACCTCAGCATCCAGAAGAGCTCAAACCTCAAGGTCTTTCATCTACTTCTTCCTTTGTTAGCATTTAATTGCATTTATTTAGGCTGGCTCACCTCATGCTCTGTCCGTGAGGGTATCCATAGAAAGGATTCAGACCCAGAGGCGTAGCATGCTTCTACTGTGAGACTTAAACATTTTTGTGCTTGCTGAAATGTTTTTGAAAGGTTTCAGTCACCTTTTTAGGTTGCAGTGTGCGTGTTTGTATTCAAGCAAACAATTAGATGTTACAGCATCGGGTCATTCAGAAGCTCTCAAGGTAGAGGTGTTCAAACAGTCCTCTCCAAAGAAAAAAGAATAAGCCAAGCGTGAAGTGTTTATTTATGGACCTTTGGAATTACTTTTTTTTAGCAATATAGCTTTTTATTTTGGAGATAACTGTTTTAACTTCCTATATAAAGAAGTGCTTAAGATGCTGTCTTTTCAGTTACATAGTTATACCATAGTACATAGGAGCAATGGCAGAGAAATTCCATTTTCCAAATTGGGTCAAGGTGCTAAAGCATCAGCACTACATCTGCAAATATGGTTGTCATACATGAAATTATGTTCCACAGAAAAATGATAGGGTCAGTAACAGGTTTGTGCAGTGTGACTCTTCATTTTCTAAAGGTACTTATCAACACTGTTTACAGTTTTAGAAGGTGTAAAATTCTGGGTCATTTGTGGTTACATTAAATATGCCTTTTTCCAATTTTTAAGGATATTATCCACCACCTCCAACAGTACCAGCTGGTGTGGCTCCCTGTGTTCCTCGCTTTGTGAGGTCCAATAACGTTCCAGAATCCTCCCTCCCACCTGCTTCCGTGCCATATGCCGATCATTACAGTACATTTCCCCCTCGAGATCGACTGAATTCTCCTTACCAACCTCCTCCTCCGCAGCCGTATGGACCAGTTCCTCCTGTCCCTTCTGGAATGTATGCTCCAGTTTATGACAGCAGGCGCATCTGGCGCCCACAGATGTACCCACGAGATGATATTATTAGGAGCAATTCTTTACCTCCCATGGATGTGATGCACTCATCTGTCTATCAGACATCATTACGTGAGAGATACAACTCTTTGGATGGGTATTACTCTGTGGCTTGTCAACCTCCAAACGAACAGAGGACTGTGCCTTTACCAAGGGTAAGTGAGAGCCAGAAGGGGAAGGATGTAGTCTTGGTTTTGAAGGTCATTACTGAAAAGTTGGTAAATAATTAGCATAGACCTCTTCTGTTTATTTGGGGTTACAGTGATCAAGACTTGTGGCCTGGACAAAGTTCTTGTTTTGTTTTTAACCTTAATAAAATAGACTTGTAAAATAGACCACTCTAATCTGCATTAGGACCAGAGCCCCTCTGCCTCTTTAATTCCCATGCATGTTGCTTGAACTAATTATATATTTAAGATTGGAGTTGCCATACATGGGCCAGGTTCTCCTGCAAATCCTTGTGAAATTCTTCTAGTGATCTCAGTGGAAGGTTACAGACCCAAGGGAATTTGGGGGTCCAAGCGTGTCTCCTGCAAGCATCTGCCTTTTGATTAGAGTATTATAGGATATACAGTCCTATATTTATTATTGCTAGGAGCCTTGTGGTCATTTGAAGACTGGTTATGATGAGCAATTGAGACGGAAGCCGGAGCAATGGGCGCAGTACCACACACAGAAAACTCCTCTGGTATCGTCAACCCTTCCTATGGCAACACCATCTCCAACACCACCTTCTCCTCTCTTCAGTGTAGATTTCAGCACAGAGGTGGGAAGCCAAAGTACTTCTGTATTTTCCCTTCCTGTTTCTGTAAGATGCCATTTAATATTTCTAGTAAAGCTTTTCTACCTACCATCTATTGTTCATAGAATTAATTTAATCTTCCAGCAAAAGGAAAGTAATATCTAATAATGAATGCATTCAGTTTGATATCAAGGCAATGCTAAACATGATTGTGGAAAAAAAGTCCAGAAGTTAAGTGATTCAATTTACCCTCACTAAAGGAAATGTAATTTCATTGAACTAGCTTTGTGAACCTCCAGGTTTTTGTGTACGGAACAACAGTTGTTTTCCATTAAGAAGGATCTTTTATACTCCAAATGGCACTATGACATGATGTGTAGAGTGAATCAAGCTGCAAATACTTGTCAAGTCTCAGAGAATACATACCCCTTAAAAGTGGCAAAAGGCATTGGTAGAACATTGTGTACTTATGTGAGAAGTTCTGTAAACAGGAATGGAAACTCAACAGATAGGAATAGTGTGCTTTTGAAGGAAAAAAAACACATAACTTGTGAAATGTATTTTCTGTATGTGTAAATTAAATGGATCCAAGAAACTGGATTGAGAACCACTGTGCCAAGCACTCTTTGCTGTGGTTAGACAGTTCTGTTGATGTTAAACTCTGATTATCCGGAAAAGGTCTTGTAGGGCAGGTGTACCTGAAGTCCCTTATGGGCACATTTAAGATAGATCAGGATTTAGTCCTTCTCATCCAGATTGGAGAGTTCCAAGTCATACTTCTATCTGCCACTGGCTTATACATTAAAGGAAAATGCATGGCTTCCTCTCAATTTAATTACTGCAGGTATTTGGCTGAAGAAACCTGCCATTAACATAGTGGCACTGATTTCAGTCTCTCATCTTGGCAGATCAGGCAGTTCTTCATAGCGGCAAAGCTTGCCCTTCTTTGACAGCTGTCAGCTGCACTGATTTAAAATTTGACAGGACAGGTTATGTTGTCCCTAAGTCAAGTCTTGAATATGGCTAGAACTCCTTGATTGACTTTTGAGATAATTTAATTAAATAGCAGTAAATGTCTTTTCTTATTTTAAGACTGTATTCCCTGTTTTTATTATTCACTGCTTATTTATTCCCTTTTCCATAGTTCTCAGAGAGTGTCAGTGATTTGAGTGGAACTAAATTTGAGGAAGACCATCTCTCTCACTATTCACCGTGGTCTTGTGGCACTATTGGCTCTTGTATAAATGCTATCGACTCAGAGCCCAAGGATGTGATTGCCAATTCAAATGCCGTGTTAATGGTAGGGGTTTTCTGCATGTTATCTCATTAGTGTAATGATACTTACATGCTGAAGTGTCTTCTGTTTGGTTAAAAAAGCCTTTTTTTTTTTTTTTTTTAAGTTGATAGCTTCTATTATTAGTATTTTAAAGTAGGTCTGCCCATTTGAAGTTGTTTGGAATATCATTTCCCAGTTTTGTAAATAAACAATGTATTCAGTGACAGAATGTAGTGCCATGAATAAAACTCTCAGATGTCTGAAACAGCTATTTTAATAACAGATCTCTGTAAGTCAAACTTGTAGCCAAAATATTTTGAGTGGGTGGTCTGTAAACTGATAAGAATGAATTAATTTTAAATGTGTTCTGTGATTATTAGAGTGGGATAAAAATTTTTGACTTCTTAATTTTGTTTGTATCTCTTCAGAGTTCTTTATATAAATGTATATGTGTACACATACATCCTTACAATTTCTGAGGCATCTAAAATAGTCTCAGAATATGTTGTAGTGGCAGGTTTGGTTAATACAGGGTCATTGTGGCCAGTTCAGAGCAGGTGTTCCCATTGCAGAAATACATTTCCTATTTGGCTTAAATGCAATAGTCCATCATGTATGAATGAATCCCTGGCCTTTTCAGGATTCTAAGATTTGTTACGTTGCCATTGTTTCAGAAAATCGTTCCTTTGAAGTTAATCCCAAGAGTTTAATGGCAACATAAGTGTGAAATAAAATACAACTTACTTTTTATCACCCAATTCCCATGAGAGGAAAAAAAAGCTAACTGAAAGACTTTAGGGAACAAAAAGTACATAGCCTGAATCACGGAATACAGCCTACCCCTAGAGGGGTAGGAGCTCATGCTTTTTGGAGACTTTCTGCTATATAGTGTAGCAGGCTACCTTTATGTTCTATGAAACAAGTGTAACCAAATCTCATCCCAAGCCTTCTTTTATACTGCCTCCTTCAAGTATAGGAAAGGGTTCTGAAGGACCTTAAAGCATACTGGAACTTTGCCTGGAAATACAAGCTTGGAAAAGCAAAATTACTTCCACTAGCAGTGGCAACAGCTTTCTCGTGGTCAGTTTGCCATTAAAGGGCAATAGTTAAATCATTGAGGACCATCTTGGCTCTCTAGTTGGACAGATTATCAGCATTGTATTTTGCAACAATAATCAGAAGGTTATTGGGAAGCTGAAGAATCTGAATAACCTCAAATGAGTCCATATGTCTTCTGTCTCCTAAATGTGTAGGATTTGGACAGCGGGGATGTTAAAAGGAGAGTGCATTTATTTGAAACTCAGAGAAGGGCAAAGGAAGAAGATCCTATAATCCCATTTAGTGATGGACCGATCATCTCCAAGTGGGGTGCAATCTCCAGGTCATCCCGCACGGGTTATCACACGACAGATCCTATTCAGGCCACTGCTTCCCAAGGAAGTGCTACTAAGCCCATCAGTGTATCAGGTACAAGTACAGGCTTCGTATGACAATATAGCATGCATCATGAGCATTTCATCTTGTTCATGCTTACTACAGCAGTGAAGATGCTAAGAGCTAAAATACCTGTATGTCCGACTTTAAGAACAGATAAGATAACGGTATCTTAATTTATTACAGATTATGTCCCTTATGTCAATGCTGTCGACTCAAGATGGAGCGCCTATGGCTCAGATTCTACTTCATCAGCACGTTATGTGGAACGGTATGGACTTTTTTCTGTGTTCTGTTAAAAGCATTTTCTATAGCTTGCTGTTCTTCAAAATCCAGAATGTGGGGGGAAAAAAATCTGGAACTATTAATAGACATTCTTAATTTTAAAGTAAAAGATTCCTTCCGATCCAGCATAAAGCCTTGGAAAAACTACACAAGTTTTAACCTAGCCTTTAATACTTAATGCAGCTAATAATACCCAATTACTAGCAACGTATCCCTTGAGAGAGCTAATCAAAGAATGGCAGTCAGGTACTGCCAAGCTGTCATGTCAAAATCTGCAATCTTAAGTAGTTTCTCTCAAGTTTTCTTGCCACATCTTACCCATATGTAAAATAAGGATGTTTGCTTCATATAGTGCCTTGGGCTATTATGAGCCCCAATGAAGATGAAGAGCACATTATCTTAGTCACACACTTTCTGTTGAAAAATCAAACATTGATAGACTAATGGAAGTTTATGGAGCCTTTGATTCAAAGAACTTGTTTTTAATTCCTAGTTTTTGCCTTCTTTTTCTTAAAGGGACAGGTTCATAGTTACAGATTTGTCTGGTCACAGGAAGCATTCCAGCACTGGAGATCTACTGAGTATTGAATTACAGCAGGTAAGATCAGATATAATACCATGTGGTATTTTTAATTTAAAAAAAAAAGTGATTTAGTAAAGTGATTTAAAATATATTTTCTTAGTGTAGCCTACAGAAAATAGTACAGTTGACAAAATGATCAATAAGGGTTAACTAGATGCTAGTCCTGCAAGACTTAGTATGATGCTTAAGGACTGCTAATATGAGCTGTTCCATTGACATCAGTAAGGCCATTTTGGGGAGAAAGTGGTGGGCCTGATACGTGTCAGCAAATGCAGAACAAAATAAATGCTGTGCATTAAAGGAATAACATAGTTTTCCATCTAGCAAGAGAACTGTTCTTTTTGTGAGCTGGTTTATTTTGCCATTTGACGTACATGGTTTAAGTGTAGCTGTTGGTAACTGATACGTTTCCTTCCATAGGCCAAAAGTAACTCATTATTACTTCAGAGAGAGGCGAATGCACTAGCCATGCAGCAGAAGTGGAATTCTCTAGATGAAGGCAGTCGTCTTACCTTAAATCTTTTAAGCAAGGAAATTGATTTGAGGAATGGTGAGGTAAAGAAAGGGGTAATTGGGATGAAACAAATCTTTTGAGTTTTTTGTATGTACATAAGTGCATGCATTTTAGCTACGAGTAAAAATTCTTGGTTTTAACGTTCCCAAATATTTATAACACGTTCTGTGCAAGTTAAGTCACTGTTGTTGTTGCACCCAGTTACTTCCTTGAGATCAAGAAGGTGCAGCTGCTATGCTGCTGCTCCAGTCATCCATTTACAAAATGGAAAGAATGTGACAATCAGTTTTCATGCAATAATTACTTTTCATTCTACTTGTACATGTTATAAATCTAAACATTCTGCCAGTGGACTCTACAGAAATTTCTACTTCAGTATTCATTTTCTCTCTCTGTTTCAGCACTTCAGTGTGATTAGATTTAGCTTTGTATCCTATGTTGTCTATGCCCAAAGTTCTATTTGTGTCTTAACTAGCTCTTTTGTATTGTAGAAATGTTGTGTCCTAGAAATGCATCTTCTGTTTTCACTTTAATACTTGAGTTGCGTGAAGCGGGTGAAAAGCTAACTTGATATTTACAGAACATATTAATTCTTTTTTCAGACTGATTATACTGAAGACTGTGCAGACACAAAGCCAGATCGAGACATTGAATTGGAGCTGTCAGCCCTTGATACAGATGAACCTGATGGACAAGGTGAACAAATAGAAGTAAGTACAAAAATCTGTGTGTCTAAAGAGGTCACTGGGTCCATTCATTAGTTACTAAAAAACTTCTAATATTTCTTTGTGAGTTAGTAGATTGTTCATAGCAAAGCTTTTTGTTTTTAGTCTTTGTAGTGGTATCAAACATTTGCCTTATTTTAACACTAGGGGTCTCATACTTCTCATTCAGATACCTGGCGGTTAACATTACCAAAGTCAAAAACAGCTCACTGTGTTCTTTGTCATAGCTTTCAGCTTTTTGCTCTTTCTCTTTCCATAGCATTAGTAATGGTGGGAGTCCGTTCCTTTCCCCTTCCCCTGCAGTATTGAAACTGTAGTTAAGAATGTTTTACATTGAAGTTTATGTGTAAATGCAGTCATTTAATTTAAGCTTTGTGCTCACCTGATTCTAATGGTAAAGTCATTTAAATGATTGTAATCCAGTGTTCGTTTCTGCTACTACTTCATTGTTTGTAATTCTGTGCATCTGCCCCAGTTTCTTCTATGCTGTTTCCTCCTTTGCTGTGCAGTCATAAAACATTCTGGTGTTCATCCCAAGCATTAGGATCAATTGTCCTTTTTTTAAAGTATGGTACACTTAAAAGAAATTAAGGTTCTTATCTGGAACATGTTCCATAATGTATTCCAATACTGGCTACAGCTTTTGTTTGCTGTCCTATGGTATGTGATGCAGTACTGTAGTATCAATTGTAAATAGCCATTAGACAGATGGAAGGACCTTTATCTTTAGCCTTTCCTATACCCCTAGTTATTGAAACAGCTCTCACTGTCTTTATTGCCTCCTTTATATCTTCCATGATAAACCATTTTCTAGCAACTGATGTTTATACTACTGTTGCCATTCACTGCCATCTTTGAATAATTGTTTTTTCCTTTTTGCTATAGTAAAATGTGGTAGACGTTCCAATAGTATGAAATAAAAATAAGGAGTCTTATGATGAGACTCCCATTTCCATCGCCTTTATGTAGTGGAACATAATAGGAAAATTTAAAGCTGGTAGCGACAGTACTGATGGACGTTTCTACTTTTCTCCTGTAGGAGATTCTGGATATACAGCTAGGTATTAGTTCTCAAGATGATCAGCTGCTCAATGGAACAACTGTAGAGAATGGGCATCCGCTAAAGCAGCACCAGAAAGAATCTATGGAACAGAAGAGACAAAGTTTAGGTGAAGACCTTGTGATTCTGTGAGTGTTAGACAAAACAGCAGTGTGTGCCAGTATTAGACAAACAACAGCAGCAGCAGAATAGTTGAAGCATGATTGTTTAAGGATGAGCTACGTACCTACTCAGACTTGGATTAGACACCTGCATTGTGTATACATGGTGAAGTGAGAAGAACCTGTTAAGAAATAGAATTAGGTCACAAATATGAAAGTCACAGGATGGTACCATTGTTCATATGCATTGTTGTAATTGTATATACTGAAACGTGTCACAGCTGTTAAAAATACCTTTCACAGTAAGCAAAAAATGCAAAAGTATTTTTATAGGTAACAGAAATTAAGACAAACTTCAAAAGGTTAAATGTCATACTGTTTGCACAAATCTCCATAGAGAGGTAGTTTTTAAAATACACTAGTTTAGGTTTTTATGTTCTGTAGTCTTTTATCTGTAATGCAGCCTTTGAAAATGAGGCAGACTACATTTAACATCTTGAGCATACCGTTCCATAGTAAGATGTTTAGTCTGTTGCTAAAAATGAGTTTATGTCAGTATTTATTTAATGCACACAATTCAGTTCCGGATACTTGTGCATGTACTTGTTTAATATTTGTGTAACTTACTTTTCTCCTCAGGGAGGAGCAGAAAACAATCCTGCCCGTAACTTCTTGCTTCAGTCAGCCGATCACAACATCTGTTAGCAATGCAAGCTGCCTGCCCATCAGCACATCAGTCAGTGTTGGCAGCCTCATTTTGAAAACTGCTCACATTATGTCTGAGGATAAAAATGACTTTTTAAAGCCTGTTGCAAATGGCAGGATGGTTAACAGCTGAAAGGCATTCATCTTTCCAGCTTGTGACCACACCATGGAAGCATTTACACTAGCTTTTTATATATATAATATATATTATATAATGTATATTTTTTTTAAAAAAAATAATATTGGGGTCATGCATTTCCTGTGGACTCTTTGATACTTCAAGCCCCTCTCGCATTAGCATTCTGAAGAAAAAGAAACTTACTTTACTAGGGTAAGGCGTTCACTTTCCACAAATGAATGGAATTTGGACATTGTTTTACTTAAGCTTAAAGCAGCTTTTTATGAGTTTGTAGCAATCCGGTGCGGTATCTGAGCCATTCTTGTTTAAAATGGCTTCTGTAGAAAACTAACAACTCAGTTATTTAAACTAGCAGGATCCTACAATGATACATCTAGTGAAAGGAAGACTAACTTATTTGTCTCTATTTTGTTTCATGAGAGAAGAAGTTGTGTCTTGTTGCAGCTGCTTTTTCTTTAGTTGTGGAACTTTGCATGGAGTATTGTTTCCTGTTTGAAGACTGAGAGGTGGAGATTTGGACTTGAGACTTTTACAGGGTTAACACACCATTAGCTTTGCACTGCTACGTTATTTGCAGGTCTGTGGTGCAGTGCTTTGCTGCAGCTTTTTGTTTCCATTCCCCCCCTCCCCCAATTTCTGCTTTAGTACTGTAGATACACATACACAGGCTACTTGTCCAAGTAAAGTTATCAGAAGTAAACCAAGTGCCTAAGTCCTCCAGCTAATGTACTAGGTATTGATTTCCCCAAGTTATACGTGAAACAATTTTCAACCATTTTGAGAGGTTATGCACTAATGTAACAGCAATTTTGTTTTTTGGGTTTTTTTTTTTCTTTTTTTAGTAATAGTTCTCAACTTGGAGATTATAGAATCCAGATGACTTGGCAAAAAGTATCAGGTGCTCTTGGCTTTCCTTTGAAAACCCTGTATGTAGTGTTTGCACTGACTAACAAGATGGTATTGCTGTTTTTTGTACTGTTTTGTTTTTAATTTAAACTAAATATTGGGAATTTAAGGCGGTTATATTACCTTTGTTAAATGTTGTTAATCATAATTTTGTGTTCAGGTTTAATTTTTGCTTGTTCAGTGGCAACTTATTTTCAAAGACCTTGAAAATACAATAATATAGCATTATCTGACCTTCAGAGTACTGAAAAGTGTATGAATTTATGCCCTGTTAAGATGTGACTGAGAATCATGTTAGACATGTCAGCTGAAAATTGGTTTTCATAAATACACATGAACTAGAGCCCTGGGCATATTTTTTGAGAAGCTTAAAAATCCACTTTTTTTTTTTTAAAAGAAAGCAGGACTCTCCCTCCTGATGATTATTACTATCTTCTTGTTTGTCCTCTTACTTTGTGACAAGTTTTACATTTTTTTGTGTTTTTATTAACTTCTGTGAAGTTGTTTACTCTGAAAATTGTACTGGAATATTTTAAGCCAAGCTGATCTTTCACCAGGTGTACTGCATGTAAGGGCTTTTCCTGCTAGCAAAATGCTTAAAGAGGATCATGTTACTGGTCGTCTGAGTTGTTATTTTACAAAATCACAGCTATGTGGTCGGGTAAGATTTTGATAACTGTTTTGTGCACGCTTCTGGGGGGTGGGGGTTGGCATTTCCCTGAGGGTTACTGATTAGACTAAGTAAATATTGGTGTTTGATATCTCTCCTAATGAACCTGTCCATGAAATAATTATGTTGTAAATATACCTGAAAATCCAAGGGTTAGTTTTGATATTCTGGTGTCAGTATGGAAGATCTTACACATCTATTTAATACTCAAATGTAAAGGAATGTATGTAGAAAAACAGTCAAGTAGTCTTTTCTTAGTTTCCTTTGGCCGTTGCTGTACCTTCCTATAGCCAGTGCCACCTCATAGCTAGGATTAGACTGATGCTTTGTTTCACTTGCAACTTGAAGTGAATGGATACAAGAACCAGACCACCTTTGTCACCTTAACTTATTTCCTATTGATGTTAACTTTAACTTAGAATGTTAGACATAAATATGATTGTTGTATATTTTATACCAAGACCATTCTGTAAATATGAATTTATATTACTTTTGAAATGCTTCTGAGATACTATTATTTGCTGTACAATGTAATTCCAAAACAGATATGCAAACAAGTATGTCTCTTTCATGGATATTTAAACAGTGAGATCTTCCATGTTGAAGGTGATGTAATTTTTTTAAAAGATTTTTAAATTTTAAATTGCTATTTTGTTACAAAAATAGAGAAAATATAAAGGTTTGAGAAGTCCTTATTTGCCCTCAGGGAAAGAGCCCTCTGTGCACCAGAACTCCACAGAACATCTTCAGCATGATCTGAGGGTGAATATATACTACATAAATTGATTGTGTATTTACCTTAACTTTTTAATTTTAAAATTGCAATTTTAAAAACTTGGTTGTGCTCTGCTGGAGGGGGATTGGGATAAGCTGCTTACACACATTTGCCTGTTTGTCCAGTGAAATTACATAAGCCTAACATATTCCTGCCAACCATATTGGCGTATTTAAGAACAAATGTATCTATATACTCTTGTCTGCAGCAGGGGGTCCCATGATATAGCAGTTCTCTAGGATGACCATACACTTCATATGGAAAGTTGGTTCTTAACTGAGGCTAGGTTTTTTTAGTTGAAATTTTAATATATAGAATGACAGGCAAAAGAATTGGGGGGGGGGGGGGGGTAACAGCATGCCAGCTTTGTCGTACGGTTTTAACGCTGTGTGGGTTTTGCCATGAAACTACACCCTCCAGTGCCCTGACAAGGAGAAGCTACAGGTGGGAACCTAGTTCTGGCTTGCTTTGGTGAAGTTTCAGCCCTTAACCCTATACAAACAAGTATGTATTCATTTGTCTAGTTGTAAATCAGGTGCCTTTGGGCTATGGAAGGGCTTATTTTCTGACACTGAGATATAGTGACTTATCTTTGTGTGTTAATAGCAGTGATTCCCATTTAGGTTTTGGCCTAACTTACCTGTGCTGTCAGAAAAAAAGGCCCATAGCAGATTGGGGAAAGAGATTGGCTCTCTTGCTTTGCTTGGACAAGCATTTTGGGTTGTTTTGGTTTGAGGTTTGTTTTTTTTTTTTTCCCCACTGGGGGTACAGCAGGGATTTCACATGCAAGAGATACAGGAATTATTAGTATCTAAGTTAATTGTGTTGCCTCACTACCTGGATTCATTCCTTGGTTTGCCTCATTTCCCACATAGGTCTTAATAGAGACTAATGCTTGTGCTGGGAGAATGCTTGTGTGAGAAAGTAATTATCTGTACATTCTTAACATATACTTATAGCAGAGTGACTGCCCTGCTACTGATATTTTGTTCCTGTAAACAGGTGACAAGAAATGAATCTTAGTGTTTATGCAGATTTTGCATTGTAGAATGTATACTAGACCCTTCAAAGGAAAGGTTAGACTCTTTGCAAAGCAAACTGGCGTTGGTTCTTGGTAGTCTAGTACAGGGACACTGAAGTTTGACATTTGATTTAGGAAAAAAAAAAAAGTTGTACGCAGCTGATTACGTTAAATAAGCTCTTAAGTGCTCTTTGTAGAAGTCTAATTTGGAAGGTTTTAGTGCTTCGATAACACAATTGAAATTTTAATTTATCCTGTACTCAAGAGCTGAATGCTGTTCTTGTATAATAGTGTACTAGGCTGGATGAGGTACAAAATAATGCACAGTGGTCAGAAACAGCTGAGGAAAGAATGTTTAGAATAACTTGATCTAAACTCAGAATAGTTCCAAACATTGGTTTTGTTTGCTTTTTTAAAGCACAAGTTGTCAAGTTGTACCTGTTGCTGTACATAAACACTGTATGCCAGCAGCTCCTTGATCATATTTGTGAACAGACTTTTCATTATTATTAGACTGTTATTAAAGGAAGATGTTGAATTTGAGAGTGTAACAAAATGAGAAACGATCAGATTATCTATAGTATGTAAAAGTCCATTCTTTATGTTGTAGTTTAATCCCTTGGTTAGGAAATTCCCTCTCATTGAGGGACCTCTTCTGCAAGCAGAACACAATAAATGTGCTTTTTTAAATGACCCAATTTTCCAGTATAAATGAACAGCTGACTTTGGCAGTAGTCATCACCGTGCATCGCTTTGCTGGCAAGGGAGCACGACAAGGAAAAAAAGAAACGAAACTGTCAGTGGTGAGAGGAAACAAATCTGAATGATCAAAATGACCGATACCCGAACATAATCCTACACCCCGTTATTTAAGAAGGATGCTTGTGGAAGCTTTTAATCACTCAAGATTTAGCTGTAAAAGCTGAAATAAAACAGAGCCTGGCTGCATTTATTACTGCCAAAAGCCAAGGTCATTTGCACATAGCCCATCAGTTTATCCAGAGTAGATCTCAGTTAATCCAAGGCATGGAAATGCATGCATTTTCTTAGCTGGGCAAACAAGTACATTATACGGTAGTTGTGATACAACACATGTGGCTTTTATTTGTACTGCACATACCCACTGTACAGCCACTCAGAAGTATTGTGGTTAGCTTGCAGCATCTGCTGTCCGCATTTATACTGTTTACTGCGTATTCTTTTCCCTGGAAGTTTTAAAGAAAATTTTTTTTTTCTTGTTGCATTGATTACATTTTATAAATTTGCTTAGCTGGAAAGTTTGGGAAAAGAGGCCTGTTTGTCAATTGTACAACCGATTGTGAAGCTCTAGTGTGAATATTTTTACGTCTGTATTAGACATTTTCTTTGCAAATCTATTGTTCGATTGAAATGTAAATGAAATAAAAGATGGTGTACACCCATCATGTATAAAGCAGGCACCATCGCTACGATGGATTTAATGCTCATTTTTATGGCGCATTCTCAGCTTCTATTTAAAACTATAATTTAAAAAAAAAAATCTGTAAAATGAAATGGGGATATATGGGGGAGTAAATTCTATTCCGTTTATTTCGGTTTTGAGTTCCCAATGGTAATGTTTCCCTTGGTGTTAGAAGTAGGGGGGCCCCGCGGCGGGGCGGTGCCGTGTGTGTTTGCTGTAGCACTGAAGTGAAGAGGTTTTAGCTTTGGCTGGTCACGGAGTAGAGCATCCTGGTTTTCAGTGTTTGAGAGACTTGATGGAAGAAGTTTGCAGTATTGACATGTATTTGCATGCACGAATAAAAATTATTTGTCCACCTTAATTGCCTCTCTGCCTTCAAAGGGGGCGGGGGGGAGGGGAGTGGAGGGGGCGGGGTTTAGCGGTTGGCTCCTCCTATGC